CCCCAAAACCCCAAAACCCCAAAACCCCAAAACCCCTGGAATGAGTCAGCTAGTTGAAAGAATTACGTATGCTAAACTGGGCACTCGAAATGTCTTCTCAAATGATACACTTCAAGACTGCCATAGTAGTGGACGATTGCAGCCACAAGCACGAAGCAATGCCAGAGGTTATGTGAATGACCACACATGTCGAACTTGCCTGGATACCATCTTTCTGGGAACCTCATTGCATACACGTATGCTCCAAAAATATATGTAGCTCCTCCAAGTGTCCAATAGTTTGTTGGGAACACAGGCATTGTAAGAGGGTCTCTGAAGTAAATGAACTGGATTCATGGAAACGCTGCTGACACTCCCAGAACTACGAACAACAATGCTCTGAATGGCCTATACTTTGGAGTGTTGAACTTTGGAATCATTGTGACAGTGAATACTCCGAATCACCCAATGAAAGTTATCAACAAATACAGAGGTCTCAGTAAGTCAAAGTTGGAGCAGTACAGTGAGTAATACACCGGAGGCACTCCAGAGCCTCCAATCAAGAAGGCAATTCCAGCATAGTCAAGTCTTGAGAGGATATCAGATATCTTGGGAGAGTGTACAAAGAACAAGTGATATATAGCACTGCATCCAAGGCATCAGATGGCAGACAACATGTGAATATACAATGGAATCCTGGTGATATCATGCAGGATTTCTCCTGGTGACTCGAAATATGACGAAAAAGTAATGTCTGGCATGTTTCCTGAGTTCTGTTCCTGTACGATTTCATGGAACAAGTCTGAGACTTTGCTGCTCAGCGATTTTAGAGTAACCATTCGCATGCTCTTGTATTTATCTTTGACGCCTTCTTGAACTTCATCGATGTATTTGCTCAAAGTCTGGTGGAACGTTGACGTCATGTTCTTGGCTTTAGTCAACATGTTGTTGAGTTTTTCTGGACACCTGACTTTGAGACTCAGAATCTTGACTCCTTCAATTAAAGAATGAATGTAAGTTTCAACTCTGTCTAAGACGAAGTCAAGGTTCTGCTCTACTTCGCTAGTGGTTGAGTTCTGCAAATCGAAGTTGAAGTAAGTCTGGTTGGAAGTCCTCTCAGTGTTAGCACACTCGAAGTCTTCGTTGTGATGTCCAAAGTTGGCTTCTCGATGGCAAGACGGTGAGTCAATCTTGATTCCTTCATCATAAATTTTAAATATTTTCTCGGTGAAATTATGAATTTCCTCTCCTTCACAAAATGAAATATCATCAGAAAGATGGTAGATATTGTGGAACTGCTCCATGACTTTGAGGTGAATGTCAGAGTTAATGTTCGGGCCAAGTTTGATTGTTGTGTAACCAATAAACACAATGAAGATGATCACTCCAATCAGGTGGGTCCACACATTGACACTTTCGTTGTGGATCATAAAGAGAGATTTCAATATTTTGAGAGGGGAGTCGAACCCAATCCTGTACCCAGTATGAATGTGTTCATTGTCAAGGAGGAAATGGGGAGCCTCTTTGATACTTCCGATAATTGACTTGACTCCTCTGAGGATATCTTGAGCTTTAGTTGAAGGTTTGAACAAGTCAAGGCTTTGAATTCTCTTCTATATTTACTACGTCAGCAACATAAATTTAAGAATTGATAACAACATGAAAACTTGGGTTGGAGAATATCAACAAAATGTTGAAACTATTAAACTTTACTACACATAAATACCAGGCAGCTTCTTAAAATAATATTTCTGAAATGACATAAAAACAAGGAAGATTATCTAGCACCTGTGTGACACGAAGCGATGTCATCTTAAAACTCTTATTAATTATGAAATATAGCGAAAATTTCAAATATAGCTATTATAGACTTTTTGGAAACTCAGAAGTGGATGTTGTACGCATTTTTCTTTTGATAAGCTAATAGCTCTTTGTCATCCTCTCCTTGGCCAATCTCTAGCTGTTTGCTGCTCTGATTAGCAGATTGTGGCGAGATCTACTCAATGATACTAAGACTTGTAGCTTATCTAAAAAGCCGAGAACAAATTGACTTCCTCTTGAGACTCTAAGAAGCTCTATTTAGACGAAGTCTTATTATTGCAAAAGATCTTCGGCTGTGAGACTAAACAGCTACCAAGGAGAAGTGTCTTAAACATAGGGCAGGTTACAAAAATAGCCTTAAATTATCTTAAAAATTTGAACATCAAAAATACTCTCAATTAAGCTACTTTTGAATTCCAAGAATTATTTTGTTCTCTCATATCTCTTTGAATAAAATTAGCATCATTATTATTGTGTAAGCAGATTTACTCTACACAAATTTACATCACGTAAACATTGTAAAGCTAGGAAAGATAAGTAAGCTCCATTTAAAAGGGAGTGTTTACATAAGAAAGTTACATAAACTGTCAGAGCTAATAGAATTCACCCATATTATATGGTATTAAAAATCATTTGGATATCAATTTACCCTGGTTCTCTCAAAGTTCTTGTCTTGGTCATCTTTAGACTTGCTGACCTTCTCACCTTTCCTTTTACGAAGACTGCTTTTGCTAGCTTCTGAGTTAAAAGCAACCTATTACAAGTTAGGCACAACATCTTATCAATCTTAAAGCTCTTAAAGCCCCCCAAAACCCACAGTAAATACCCTCGGCTCCCCACTTACCATATCAGAACGTTTTCTTTTCCTATCAACCTTGGATTTGGCTAAAAGATTACTTTTCTGGACCTACATCTCATCTTTATTAGATTTTATTAGTATTTCCACCTTGGAGATTTTAAATGGGGTTTTGGGGTTTTGGGGTTTTGGGGTTTTGGGGTTTTGGGGTTTTGGGG